TCTGTCTCCTGAGCCACTAGGATTTGTTTTTATAATCTTGATGATTTCCATCCTGATTAGAGTGAGATAAAATGTCAGTATAGTTTTGAATTGCATTTCCCCAGTTCCAAATGTGTTTATATTTTTTCATGTAATTATTGGTCCTTCCTACTTCTTCTTTTGAAAAGTGTCTGTTCATTCATTTGCCCATTTGTTGTTATATGAGATACTCCTGAAGCCCTGTGGTCTATGAACCCTGATTACCCTTGGCTCTCCCCCACAGAAAGTCATATGTTGTCTTGCTGTGAACTGGCCATTTCTAGACACATGTACATCTCGAGCCATATATACTACACACTTTCTTAAACTTAATAAATACAATAAACCCTGTCATCAACATGCTAACAGTTTGCCTTTCCTGGCCTCTCATTTAATCAGTCATCATGTGAACTAAACCTGATGACTTGGTATTCTGAAAACAGTGCCAGAGAAATTCTTCCTCTGAGTTTTTTTGGAAATGAACTTATTAGGAAATATTTACTACCAGTTCAGTGGATAAAGTACAAGCAATTGGCTCATAGTTGCATTTAGGAACTAGTATCAGATTGTTCATACTTAAATGACAAGAATTAAAATATAACTCACTTTAATGATTTCAACTAGCTAGGCTTGGTGGAATGTGCCTATAATCCCAGTGGCTGAGGAGGCTGAGGCAGGAGGAACACAAGTTCAAAGCCAGCTTCATCAAAAGCAAGGCACTAAGCAACTCAGTAAGACCCTGTCTCTAAATAAAAAGTGAAATAGGGCTGGGGATGTGGCTCCGTAATTGAGTGCCCCTGAGCTCAATTCCCATTACCAAAAAAATAAATAAATAAAATAAAATAAAAAATAATAGAAAGAAAGGAAAAAAGAAAGAAAGAAAGATAAAAAATATTTCAACTAAGCTTCTTCAGAGGGTCTCCATAAACAGACGGTTCACAGAAGATGAGCACTGACCCAGGATTCTTGAAACACACATGCTCTGGCACAACACAGTCAGCACATGGAAGACTTTCAAACAGAAATCTCTGTAGCAAGCTATAAGTAAATAGACCATTCATCCAAATTATTGTAATCTGGTAGTAAGTTTTCAATATGGTAGTTAAAACGTAGATATAAAAATTTTCTTACATATACCAGAAAGAAGTATAAGATAGCAATAAAAGCTAAATAAATAGGAATAAATTTAATCATCTCAAAACAATAGAACTTCATCAAGAAAGAAAGACACAAATAAGTAGAAAGAAATAATATGTTTCTTTTAGTTAATTTTGCTGTGTATATTGTAAGGAAAGCAAAAGGAGACAGAAGCAAGGTGCAGAGGCAAAGCAAAAGCTGCTTGCCTGAGCTGCCAGCTTTATTTATATCAATAGGTTACATTAGGTCACTGGCATCAGTAGCACATTTATTGTTCATTGTGGCATTAGGCAGGTTACAGAGTTAGCAACATTATGCTGCTTCTCTCTCAGTTACATACTGCAGTTGTAATGTGAAATGTTAGGAAATTCATGTAGCTCTCAAGAAAGCCCATTGTTTAAAGTTACTGTTATGTGGAAAGGTTCAGTCTCAGCAGAGCTTGATACGACATTGTGGTTGTCCACAAGACAATTCCTTTATTCCCAGGAGCTGAGTACCTGAGATCAAGGTCAAAGCTGATGAGACTCTAGCACAGATCCTCCTCATGCAGGGCATTATCATAGAAGCTAGGCATTGCACATATACTAATATCTTAGTAGTTCTTGGGAAAAACTGCAGAATATTCCAAGTGTGGAAAACAGGGCACCTGTTGCCCCCCAGGAGTTTGCTCACCAGAGGAATGCTGCCTTGAACGTTTCCACCACCAGAATCCTTACAGTGTATTCAAGATTTACAACAGGATAATATAGGATACATAGAGGTGGTAAAGTATTTTTATAGTGAAGCAAACTAACATATCTATCATTTAATATAACTTTTTGTACATTTGACAGTAGCTAAAAAATCTATTCAACAATTTTATTATCCATAGTCCTTAGATTTTACATC